CACAGCTGCTGTTTCCTTTTCCTGTGCTGCCTCCTTCCATCAGACGCCTTCCACTGCAGACAGGCCAGGGGATCGCAGTCTCAGCAGGGACAACCCAGCTGGCACAGAGTACAGTAGCGCTGCAGGTAAAATGGGGGAACTTCAGGTAGCCTCACCTTTCACCTGCCCGCCTCCACTACCAATCAGCCCCAAGCTTTTAACTTCTTAAGGCATGTTGATTAGGTTAACAGTGGAGAGCCAGGGTGTGGCTAGCTTAATTATTCCTAGCTCTGAGTGAAAGTCATTCATTGTGGGGCCCACACCACTCCTTTGGGGAGAGAGAACCAAAGCCTAAGGAGACCTTCCCCGCTCATGCACAAGGGTACTGTGGTAGCCGTCGGGGTCAGACAGGGATCCACAGAGCTTGGAGAGGCGGGCCTTCCAGAAAACCCCAAGGCCACCTGCTGGGTCGACGAAGATTAAAAAAAGTGTTAATATACTATGTTGAAGGGGAGGCAGAGAAACTGACATTCCAAATCCTTTGAGAGAGTAATCCAACATCTTTTTATATTAAAAACACACATACCCTTTCTGTTCAGCATCTCAACTTTGGGGGAATTTGTTGTATCGAAGAAATAAAAAAATAATTGTACAGAACACAGTTGGGTCAGGAATATGAGTGACAATACTTGTAGAGCATGAAAAAAAAAAAAAAAAGGAAAAACCCTGGAAAAACCTGTACAACTATCAAGAGGTGAGAAATTAAATAAATTGTAGTGTAGCCACCTTATGAAATATTGTGTGAATACTTAGAAGGAAGGGCTATATGTTTAGCTCTTGATATTGAAGAATTTGGCCATAAAGAAATACATATCCTAATGAAAAAGCTGAACACAGCCTCCTCATGGGTATATGTCAGTATATGTCTACAGGCCCACAGGGAAAGCCGTGGAACACTCACCAGCCCATTAACATTTATTAGAGGAGAGAAGATTAATTTTTCCCCTCTGCATATTTTTGAATTGCTTTGTTGGTTACAATACTTGTTTTATTTTTCATTTTTAATGTTGAGAGAGGAACTTAATATGAGTGAAGACAGTGAGGTGGTGGGAAGGGGGTGCCAGTAGAAGCTACAGGAGCCCAGCCCTGGAAGAACCCAGAGAGCTGGGCTGGAGAGGTGACTGCCCTGGGTCTGGGCCAGGGGCCCCAAGGCCAAATCTGGGGGCATTCTTATTTGGGGGCTCACTTAATTCAAGGAGCTTGTCCTTGCTAGGCATGGAGCCTGATGAATGTGTAGCAAGAGGAAATTATACTGCTGGACTAGAAGGAAACGCTTCGCCCCCAAGTCAGAATGAGGTTCTCTACTCCAACTTACTTTGAAGCCTTCAGTGAGACCCACTGGATTAAGCCTAATTTCAAACAGGAAGAAAGTAAATTAATAATACCTAGCACTAGGGGATTGGCATGTTGTGGGAAAGTACGTTGGTTTTATGCTCTCAGTGGATACAAACCACAAACCCATGGGGTAGGTGTGATCACCCCCATGTTACAGAGGCTCTGTACCCCTCCCATAGTTCTCTGGCTGCTAAAGGGGCTCTCTGCGCTTGAAACCCTGCTCCTGGAAGCTAAGGCAGAGGCCCTATCCTGGAAGGGTTGAATCTGAACCTGAAGATTACCTCCTTTCCACACTCTCCCTAGGGCGGAGAAGGGAGAAAGAGCCCTCTCCCGGCGCCGAGCGGGGATTGCCAGAGCACGGTGGCCCTGCTGGGTTCCTTAATTGAGCTGTGGGTCTGAGGATGAATGGCCCCGGCTTTGACCTCAAGGAGGTGGGGGGTTTCTTTTCTTTGAGAGACTAGGTGCGCTAGCCACAGCACTAGGAGGTCCTAAGCTGCCTTCACTAGGTTTGCAGGGACATGGGGTGAGGACTGAGTAAATTCAGTTGTCTTCGCTGAGCCTCTCCTCTTCTGCCTTGTTCTCAGGGCTCCTTCCCAAACTGCCCATCACGTCGTTTTTGTGCGGGGCCGGGGGTGGAGAGTGAAGGGGAGATCAACGCTTTAATTTCCATTGGTAAGTGTAGCAGCGGCAGTGACCCAGCCCGGGTGCACCGGAGGACTCGAAACCTGATGTAAGGCAGCAGGAGGAAGGAGGGGAATCCCGCGGCTCTGCTGGGATTTGAGGGAGATTTGGAAGGGGGAAATAGGCTTCTTTTCTACCTGGCCATGTCCTGGGGCGGTCGGAGCCAGGGCCCCTGCTTGGCCCACGGTGCCTCGGCCCACCCAGTACCAGTTGCTGTGTCCTCGGTAGCCCTGGCCTGGAGAGGGGTGGGCTCAGACCAGGGTGACCGGCTCTCCGGAGGCCCAGAAAGGAACGGTGGGGGATTCTTGTGCACCTTTGGCTCCCTGAGCCCCGAATGAGAACAAGTCCCCAGCTCATCTCTACACTTTCTCTTCGTAGCTGGATTCTGTCACCTTCAGCTCTAAGTTTCTCCACCGTTCCTGCTTTTTCACAGGCTCGCCTCCCTCCCCTCTGCTAAAACTACTTCTGGATCGGTTTTCCCGTCTTTCTCCGCACCCGCTCCCCTTTCCACGCCCGTTTCTCTTTTCTCTTCATCGCCCTTCGCCCGCAGAGTTGCTCCGTTGAGACTGGAACTCTGGAAATGACCTCGCTGACCTTCTTCATGGCGAGGCATATTTGACATTGCATTCAAGTGGTGGCCATTGTCCTGGATCGACTTAACCTGGGGGTGGTGCTCAGGAGGGAACAAGGACTCCCCATCCCATCAGGCCCTCAAGGGCGCAAAGCCAGCGCGTGGGGCCAAGTGGAGGGCCGTGGGCGGCGCACAGGGGCGAGCAAGCCCCCACGTGGGGCCGAGGGCGGGTGGTGACATCCACTCTGGACACCTCTCGGAAGCCCTCAGCGAAGGCACATTCACACCCTGGGTAACATCACCTTCCAGAACCGGCAACAGGGCTTACGAGTTGCTGCTTAAAAACAGTAGTATCCGTTAACATATGGAAATGTTATCATGACTAAATAGCAAATTATAGTCGAAGACGACGCGATAATAATCTAAACAATCACCCCAAGAAGAAACATTCTCTGATGAGCCAGACACTGGAGACTGCGTTTGCGAGACTCGCACTGCGTTCCAGGCGATCTCTCCAAATGCGCGCGCGTGGTCCCGGGCCTCCCACAGGGCCAGGCAGCACCAAACCCGGCGCCGAGGTTTGGAAACTCACCGGGCGACCAGGGACTAGGAGGGGACGGCTCGTGGGAGAAGGCAGCTCTAGGGCGCCCGCCTAAGAGGGCGGCCCCACCCGGGAAGCAGTTGGAACCGCCGGAGGAGCTAGGGGTCCTGGAGGGGAACCTAATTGCGTTCACGCCAAGAAGAAGCCCGCGCTCCGATTCCCTGGTGTCTGGTCCCTCTGTCCCTCCCTCAGCCTGGCCTCCTCTAGAACTTCCAGGAAACTGATTTCTGGGTAGGTGGCTCGTACTGCGAGAGGAGGGGTGTCTTTCCTCCCCCGAAGCCGGAGGAGATTGCGCCGCCCGATCTATTCCAGCATGGAAGGGGCCCAGCGCTGCGAGCGGTGCGCAAGGTTCGCCTCCAATTTGCAGAGTAGAAGATACAGATTTGCAGACTGGGCAGCGCGCTCTCGGCAAAAAGGCCCCTAGAAGACCCTCCCTTCTCCTCCTTGTCCCCCTCCCCCCTCATCAATAGATTCGTATCTACAAGAGGCTCAGACTTTTTAATTTGAATTTCAAGAGCTGAGCTCAGGTTAGCAACATCGTATTTCATTTAAACGCAAACCGAAAATAACCACTGAAACGAAAGAACAAAATCGTTCGTTATTTCTGAAATAACGATTGTTCTGGTGTGTGGGATCACCGGCGCAGGTAGCCGCTGCTCCCGTGGTTTTGCACAGAACCCGGGATTGAGGGAGGCGGGGGCTGACTGGGGGCGGGAGCTGGAGTCGGCACGCGGGGAGCCGCGCGCCTGCGTGGACGCGGGGCGGTGATCTACGCTGCCATTAAGAATCCTTGTGTTTCCAGCGCTCGGGGCGCAGGGACGCATGTGTTGCTGGAATTCAATCCTTGCGGGGAATGCAGATTGGGCTGCGACCCGCTGGGTTTGATGTATGAACTGTTACACTAGCGATTGTTTACACATTGCATTTCAGAGCCCCGCCCACCCTCCAGGGAGGGCTGCAGCTCGCGGTTCGGGGACCCACTAGGTCGCCAAGGACCCGCTTCACACATCTCCCTCCCCAAGAGACCCGGGTTGGGGGCCGCTACATCCTCCCATCCCAAATATCAGGAGAAATCAGACGTCGATTTCATCGAATCCCTGGAACCCGGAGACATCCCTCTCCCAGCCTGGGCCACCCTTGCAGACCCGGTTCTGGGTCGCCTTTGCCCCAGTTTACTCCGCAATGTTTACTTCTCCGTAAGGCCACGCGGGGCCTATAAATAGGAGAGGCAGAAGCAGCTCGGCTGTCAGATCAATAGGGCCTCGTCTCCTCGCCTTTTCAGCTGAGCTGTCTTATTAATTATGAAAGGATTCACCTGATCCCTGCCCGGAGCGCAGCCTCTGGCCCCTCTGCTGGCGCCCTTAATGGCGGTTCCCTGCAAGCTGCCCCGGCCACCGCGAAGAGGAGGCGAATGGTGGTCAGGGCCACGCCTGCAGGGACGTGGTCAGGGCCCGGACCCGCCTGGGGCGGGGGCAGCGGGCTGGCCAGTGCTCTGCTGGTCGCCTGTGCGTACTCCCCTGAGTACAGGCCCCTTTCCTCCAACCCTCACCCACAAAGGACCTCTGATTTTTAATTAAATAATTTAAAAACCACTTCCTTTTTCCCCTCTTCAAATAACAAGAATTTGGAAGACTTTGCAAAGCATCCTCGGTGGGAAGTTCTGCTTGACCCAGTGGCTTTGTGAACTGGTGACCTTGTCACCTGGCGTCCTGTGTCCCTTGAGATACCCCGAGAACTCCTTGGATCCGGATAGGAAAGAAAAGGACACCCCCATTTCAAACAATAACTTTTATTTTATACTTCTCTATAGTTTGTAGCAAATCTTTTTTTGCTGAATTTAATTTATAATAAACTTTTTAAATTACATCTCTCTCTCTTTTTTTTAAAATCAAGGCTCTTTTATGTCAAAATCTTTTGAACTATATTTTAGACTAACATTTAACATCCCCCCCTGTGAGCTATACCGTTGGATACTCGGGTATTACTGTATGTGTAACATCTAAAACAAGAGAGAGGAGGGGAAATAAAGGCAGTGGATTTGAAAGATGCATCGACAACAGCAGATAAAGCTAACCCCTCAGTGACTTCGCAGCATTTCTTCCGACTACCACTGGCCTCCGGCTAGAGTCCAGTCAACCTCTTCCCCTTCTCCCTCCTATCCTTAACTCGCAAAGCCGGCAATGTGTCCTTTCGCTTTTTTCCAGAAGAAATGTGCAGTGGAAATGATCAAAACAAGGTACTGTGGAAGAAAGACGCGAGCGTGAGCTATCACCGGATGCTTCTCTCAGACACCTCTTGGTTTCACCCCCTGGCCTTGTCCTTTCCTCGCTTTCCTCTTAGGAGGAGCCCATCGTTTTTCATGTTATCAACATGATGTATATAGTAGGTGGCCCAGGGCCGTTCCTGAGATTCGTTTGCCAAAATAAAAATCAAAATAAAAAAAAAATGGGAGTGAAGTTTGCCGTTTTCTCATTTTTGTGTGAAGACGGACTAAAGCTGAGGTCCGATTTTGGCTGTGCTTGCTCCATCACTGACTGGTTACATTTGGCAAATAAAACACACCAAAAAAAAAAAAAAAATTAAAAAAAAAAAGGAGAACCAGGATTTCCCACAATCCTATATGAATGTTTTCAGCATCACAGAGAATCACAACGTCCCCAAAGAACGAATGGATCTTCTTCTCGGTTTTCGGGAGCATGGAGTGAGTGTGGGCGCGCGCGGGGGGGAGCAGGCCGCGCTCAGAAGGGAAGCCAGGTCGCTAAAGCTGCCGAGAGAGACGCCAGGAGCAGGGGCACCGCCGGGAGCAGCGGTCCCGCCGCCCCATTGCCGCTGCCGCAGAGTTCGAATAAGCTGCCTTGGATGTTGAGGTTTTTGGATTCTTTTCTCAGTTTATCCCACATATCTTTCGCCCCTTCCTGGCAATCCGTAAGGGCTGTGACCGTGCAGCTGTGGAAATCCTCCCAGTATCTGGCGAGGAACAGAACAAAACACAAGAAGAATATTCACTTGGGCGCGGGGGCGGGGGGGACCCCCGGCCTGCGCCCCGCGAGGCCTCGCCCCTCCCTCCCTCGCCTCCACCTGCTCCTGGAGCCCCGGCAGCTCAAGGTCACGACTCCGTGCGACCTCGGCCCATCCCAGAAATGCTGTCCAGAGGGATGGACCATCCACACGTTTCCCCTGTCTGCTTTCCCCTCTCCGGTGCCAGGAGGGGACCCTGAAGCCGCCAGCCGGGTTGCGCCGCTGCGTCGCGCTGGCACCTCGGCCTGCGCAAACAGATTACTCGCCCTCCTCAGGGAAAGCTAGGAAAACAGCGCTAAGCCTTGCAAGCTGCCGCCCATTAATGCCTCTTAGCTTGCAAGACGGGTAACTGGTTCCAGGGCGGCCCTCCCCTCTTGGCTCCGCACATTCTCCTCCCCTCGTCCCTTCTGTCTTCCTCCTCGCCAGAGCGATCTCGCCTTCGCCCTCACTCTCTCCCTCCACCCACCCTCGCCTCTTCCTTTTGTTTCTCTTCCTCCTCGTTTCTCTGTTGTTTTCTTTCCCCTTCCCTCTCTTCCATTTTTTCACTTCCTCTCTCTTCGCCTCTCCACTTGCTGGGGTCCTCCAAGGCCCTCCTGCCTCGCCATCCTCGGTCAGCGCTCAGATTCCTTCCCTCCGGAGACCGCTGCCTGCCTCTGCCGTTCCCGGGTCGGTGAGTGTGAGTGCCCGGAAACCTGGGATCTGCTCTGCAGCCTTCTGGGAGCCCATCAACCCCAGGGCTCCAGGCCTGAGTGGTGCGCTACCTCAGCCCTCCATCCTTGGCTTTTCTGTGGATTTGAGCCCTGGGGAGCCTCTTCCCTATGCCCTCGGGATGTAGCGCCCATTACCCCAGCCCAGACTCCAGGGTGGTGTCCACTGTCCTCTGTCCTCCCCTTGGCTCAGCTTCCCGACCCGCCCCCGCTACGCCCTATAATCCAGCCACTTCCTCCTCCCAAGTTTAGTTCCTGTCCCTGCCCCCACAGCCTCCATCCAACCTGTCCTTTTTTTCTCATTGTCCCCCTTTCTTCTGAAAACCCAAAATAGATACCAAGACTAAATATAATCCCAAGTGGGGATCGATTCCTGGGCCTCTGTCTCCTTCCGGAGCTGGGTCGATCTGTGTCTCCGGCTGGGCACCAGGTCACCACCAGCTGCTCACACGACTGTAGGCATGTTGAAGGCAGATGCTCTGCCTGACTTCTACCTCTTCCCTCTTCCACCCCGTCTTGGCGAATAGTGACATAATGAATCCTTGTTGGGCAGCCTTGAGCTCAGGTTGTCTTCTAAAAACTTCTAATTAATGGGTGCTGGTGGGTTTGGGCACAAGAATTTCAGGATCCCACAATTCATAATAAATAGCAAGATTTACAAACACCAGGAGGCCCAGGGGCAGTCCCCTGAGGAGCTCCCACCCAACTGCACCTCCCAAAGGATGTCTAAGTTGCTTTCTTTGTGTTCCCCTAGATGGGGAGCAAGTCCCCCAGGAAAAGGGAGAAGGAGGAGAACAGGCATTCATCTGGGGCTCAGCTAGCTGATGGAGCAACCAGCACCACCAAGCTGGGGGTCTGATCCAACTGTGGTTGAAAACCCCAGGAAAGGGCCCCCCATTCTCCTGTCTTCCAGGACCAAATCCTGCTAAACAATAGTTAAACTCACTTTGGTCCAGTAAATGATGAAGAACGTGGGAGCGTCTCTATTTGTGACCCTATTATGCTTTATACATTTAATCTTACTATTACTAAATGCCTTTTGTCCTTTTCATGATAGAAAAGCACCAGCTCCTTGTAGGTACTGTAGTATTGGGGGCTATGCCCAGCAAGACTGACCCCTTGTTAGTCATAACTTAAGTGAACACCCTTCCTCCAATTAGGGAGAGAAGGACCTCACAGTATAAAAAGGAAAGCATAGAGAAGTCAATTTCAACCTCTGGGAACAAGGAACACCTCTCCATTTGGCTTTATTGAAAGGGGTTTTGAGGGTGCGGGGAGTATAACTGTTTTTGAAAAATAAGATTGTTGTGTGTGTGTGTGTGGGGGGGTGTTCTTGCAAAAGTCTGCAGCAGGCAAAGTGGCACAGGTCCACCACAGTAAGGCTCTGCTGGTCACCTCATTTGCTACCTAGTGGGAAAATGCTTTCGAGCTCATTTCTGAGAAAACACCACTGGGTCTTTCTCCTCTTTGGGCCTGCAGCTGCCTGGATCTGGGGTTTGGGAAGACCATGGAGAGACCAAGAAAGACAGGGGAGGAGAGGAGAGGAGTGTGGCTACCGAATCTGAGTAGGCTATGGATGCTGCAGACATCCAAGTCACCGGATAGCCCGATGTACTCTTCTTGGGCCAGGTCCTTGGCACACAATAAAATGTGGTTTCAGCCTTTCTTCTAGAGACAGGAAAGGACCCTTGAGCCCCCTGGCTTTTCCGGTTGTGTATCAGAGGGGACACTGCATCACTGGAAATGGACAGAACAGGCAGGGGACTTTTCTTCCAACCAAAAACAACTGTTCAGAGATTACTGGACATGTCACTTGTTCACAAGAGGGCAGAATGGAGACTGCCTCAAAGCAGAGATTTTGCAGAACCAAGAACTGGTGTCTGGGCTCCCTGCCCAGTGCTCTGGGACCCAGTGCAGTGGGTAGGAGCACCTCTGTGTCAGCTCCTGAGGCCTCCCACGGCTGGACGGAGCCCCATTCCGGAGGCTGGCCCTGTCCCCTTAGGCAGGTAACCCAGGGTGCTGGGGGTAGGAGCCAGAGGGAGCTTCAGGATTTGCCGGAAGGTGGGGAGGCATGGACTCTCGCCGACCTCAGCAGCGTCCCCTGAAGAGAAACCCAGCACCCAAGAGGACACACTTACGTGCACACGGTCTTGATGTTCGTCTTGTCGTCCAGGCCCTGTGGGTAGTTGGCCATGCTGTCGCCCAGCTTGAGCAAACAGTCCGAAAAGCCCTTAAAGACCGCATCGCACTTGCCCGCTGCTCTCACGGCCTGCACCAGGTACGCTGCGGGGAGGAGGGGACACCGGTCAGCAGCACTGCGGCCCGCCCTGCCCCTGGCCCTCCTGCCCCGCCTCCTGCTGCCCGGCTTCAGGCCGTGCCGGTGTTAAAAGTAAACAGGTGGACGGAAGAGGTGGCCCAGGACTGACTGGTGTGATTGTCCGGGTGCGAGAGGACGTGGGTGGGAGAGAGATGAGTCCAGTCCCCTCCCCAGCTCTCCCCTGAAGCGCACGCTGTATCTTTTTCTGTTTCCAACGCCCCCTCTTCTCACCTCCCTCATCTCCTTCGTTTCTTTTCCCTCACTCCCCCCTTCATCTCCCAACACTTCCCCAGCAAGCCCTGTCACGCCTCTCGCAGTGCAATCTTCCATTTCTGAGGTGACAAGGGGGGGGGCGGTCTGGACGGCGGAGTGCGAGGCAAGGGCAGCGTGGAGAGACGGCCGAGCGTGGGGTCGCCCTACGCCACTACGCGCGAACAGCCCTCACGAGCCCGGCCCTTGGTGGGGGCTCGGGAAACAGTGTTGAAAGAATAAAGACTCTGAAGCCACCAGCGGTTACCGAGAGAGACTGTTTCATTCTAAAACCCAATGCATGCGCGCCACGGAGTCTGTGCTCCACAGGAGGCCTTCGGACGCAGCTCCCCGCATCCCACAGAGAGAGGGCAGTTTGGAATCCTGAGACCTGGGGGTGGGGGTGGTGAGGATTGGTCCCAGAAGGTCGGGGGACAACAGGCTGGCGAGATCACAGATGTCCGGGCCGGTAACTCTGGGTGACCTCCATGAGCCTCGGAGCCCCTGCTTTCTTCTGCCTCTGCCCGGAGCCGGCCTCTCTACCGACCCTTAGCGTCCCCAGAAAGGCCGCTGCTACTCATCACAAAAGCGGATCCGACCCTTCCTCTCCAAGCCCCAGCCAGGCTGCAGAGCACAGAGCTCGCAGCCACCCACAGCTCCCACTCCACCTCTGAGCTCCCCCAGAAGATGCGGGTGCCGAGCAGACGCTGGGGGAGGCGGGAGGAGCAGGACAAAACCCAGGCGGAACTGAAGTCCTCAACTCGGTCAAACCCCGAGGCTCCGGACTGGAGAGAGAGGTTCAGGCCCAGAGCGCACTGCGGTGGCCTTTTCTTTCCACCCTGAGGCCAAGAACCGGGCAGAAGCTGGGTACCTGGTGGTCAAGAGCACCTCGGGCACCAAGGGTGCGCGAGACAAGCGCACATCTGCGCTGTCGGGGTGGGGAGAGGTGTAAGGGGGTAAATCTCCAAATCGGAATCGAAATCTGCCTCCAACTCCCACGACTCCAGCGCAGGCCTCTTCCTGGGCAGTGCTCCGGTCGCCACCACTGGGATGTGACTGTACCTCGGGAGGACCTTGCACCTCACCCCCAGTCCCCACGCAGCCTCCCGGCCGGAGCGTCGGGCCGAACGCGGACCAGGCAGAATGGTGGCCTAACTGCGGCAGCCTCGGGGAGCGCGCCGCTTGCAGACTGCTGCGGGAAGCGACGCGCGGGCCTTGCTTTCTAATCCGGAACGGGAAACGCTGGGGAAAGGACCCAGGTTAACTTGGACCTCCGCTGGGGCAGGGACCTTTCTAAACCTGCTGGTGTCTCTTATCCCCCAAATGCAATACTCATGCTACTACAGTAATAGCAAATCGAACACTGACCTGGAATCTCATGGATAAGTGCACCTTTGTTCTAGTGGATCTCTGTCAGAAGGAAATAGACCCTGCACCCCCTCTGCAATGATTGTTACAAACACAGCTCTGCCGCAGAGAGACAGGACGCAGACCACCCTCCTCTTTCCCAGTCTCTCCTCACCCTTTACTTCCACTCCCCACGCTCGGTGTCCAAAATGAAGCCCCTAAGAAGCGCTGGTAATTTTTTTTAAAAAAGGAAGTGGTTGCTCGCTGGGAACGGGAAGAGCGCCTGTCACGTTATCTTCCCAGGCGCTGCACACCGCGCATGTGTGAGTGTCTGCGTGTGGAAAATAAGAAGTCGTGAAAATATCTGTGTTTTGCAACTATGACTCTTTGGGGTGCAGCCTGTCTGCGCTGGGAGGCCAAGCCTCGCGCGGGACCGATTTTGCAGGCGCACCCCTCGGGCAGGTCATACCCTGCGTGCCCGGAGCAGTTTTTCCTGCACCCGGTTTTTACAGGTCTCCGGCAGGCGACCCAGGGCCCCTTCTCGGTCCTCTCTTTGTGGTTTCCATTCCTTCATTCATTCGTTGGACCTCTCATTCATTCCAAACTTCTACCCGCCGCATCTTCGCTCGTTCACCACTCTACTTCTCCGCCCTCCCCACCCCCACTTTTCTTGCCAAATGTCAGTGATTTGGGACAGCTCCCGGCCATGAATTAATAAAGACTGAGGCTCTGGTGCAGGAAAGGGCAGACGTTCGGGAACAAGTACACTCAATTTCAATGCCACAGCCAACAAATGGTCATTTTCCGTCTGGGTTAGTGTGTTCAAAAACGCATCCCTCGGGCACAACCGCTTTCCCCCACTTCTTCTCAGAGTAAGGTGATTTTCCACCGGGACCACACCACCCTAAACCTTCTCAGATTAAAAACCCGGTCTCCAAGACAATTGCTGTCTCCTGCTCTCTAAAAATTCAAAGGCTAATTGCAAAAGGCCACATTCACTTATTCGCAACATTAAAGGGTTTTGCTGTCATTAGGGATGTTCTTTCTTCAGTGCAGCTCTTCGAACTAATGTCAAAGATGCAAAAACAACGAGATTGAAAGTCATTTCTTAGAATTCAAGGGAACACTAACATCTGTGTGACTCCCCGCACATCTCGAACCCACACACTCTAAAATCCCCATAATGTTTCTGCAAAAAAAAAAAAAAAAAAAAAAAACCCACTTCAAAACCTTGTGTAATGCATCAAAACCCTACTACAAAGAATCCATTTTGACGTCCAGAGAACCCCAACCTTGCTTACTTCACATTTCTCAGGAAAGAAAAATGTTAGCATTTCATCTCTTGCCCCAAACCAATTCTCTAAAGCAGCCCTCCCCCTACTCTGCAAGGATTTGTCTGCAAAAGCTACAGCATGAAATTAGAGGAGGTGACAGTTCCCTCCATCTTCAGAAAACCCATTGAAGAGTTTCTATTTTTTCTCTTGTCCATTCTATTAATAACCCGCTCCCCTTTCACTTTTAGGCTATGTTAATTAATGTTCTGACCCGCCATCAGAAAAGGGATTTTTCTTGTGCATAGAAACCCCAACGTTTTCTGCTTTCTGGATCAGGGGGCGTGAACTTTAAAAATCCCCCTGACAGTGTAACTAGGACTCCACATTCCTCAACACAACATACGGACTAGAAACATCCGCCCATAATCAGCGCCAAACAAACAAAAACAAGAGTGTCCGATACGATACTGCAAACATTTCTTAACCCTTTTCTGTGTATAAAATACAGATATTGGTGTGTAGAGTAATAGGCAAATGTGCCTTAAAAGGTATATGCATGCATATTTGGCTAAGCGCATCCTCCTCAATTGCAAGCACAATAAAATATGTAGTCTGGAGTCCCCCCCTCCCCCGGATTTGCCCCTCAGCCGGGTCTGCGGCGCCCGGAGCAAACGCTGCAGCTAGGATATGGGGGAGGGGGCGGGAGAATGACAAAGTTCTAAATGCAGCAGTTTGAGCTGGGCGCTGGGATGTCTTTGCCATCTGCACATAAACTTTCCAGTCCTGGCTGCCTAGCCATCTTGCTCCTGCATTCACCTTTCGACCCTTCCAAATAAGATCATGCAGGATCGCAGGGGCCAGAGCATTGCTCCGGAGCGCACCGAACCTGCTCTAACCCCAGAAAGAGAACCAAAAAATGAATGTGCGCTTTGGAAAAAAGGGTGGGGGAAACCCCCTCTGGAAAACAGCCCGTCGCACACATTTTTCCTGGAGAACGTTTGAAGTCTCTTCTCCTTCTCTCTCTCTCTCTCTCTCTCTCTCTCTCTCTCTCTCTCTCTCTCTCTCTGTGTCTCTCTAAGCCGAACTGGGACGAGAAGTCCCCAGGCGCTGGTGCCCCCACCCTCGGGGCTTTGCGGGGTTCTCCGCACCCCAGGGCGGCCGCGGGCCAGTCCGTCCCCCTCCGAGCCTTGGGCCCGGGCTGGCGGCCTCCAGAGCTCCGCCCGGCAGCCACTTACCTATTTGCACCGCGAGGATCAGTGAAATATATCTGCCGTTCAACTTAAGTCCCATCCTACGTTTAGTCAAACCATTTGCGACCGCAGACCTTTAAATAGTTAGTTTAGAGAACGCGGGGGAAAGCTGAAAAATAGGCATTGCCAACAAGTTCCGGGAGCGGCGGAGACTTTATGCACCGGGAAGGCAGAGGGAGGAGAGAAAGAGAGGGACCGAGGAAGAGACAGAAAGAGAGAGAGAGAGAGGCTGAGAGAGAGGGGGGAAGAGCTGGGAATGGTTCACTCCATTAGGAGGGGGCGGAGGAAGTACAGCCTCACGCCCACGAGCAGGCCTGACGTGGGGGATGACACGGAATGATTTTTTTTTTTTTTTAATATAGACACCTTGGTAGAGAATCGCCATTTATAGTCATCAGAAGCTGGAATTAATCAGATTTCTCCAATTAATGTACCATCCCAACGAAACCTCGCCTCCGGGGGGTGACCACTTCCCAATCCCCGCGGCCACCCCCGCCTCCTCCACGTTTCTGGGGGCCCCCAGCCCCGCCCCCTCCCTGCGCAGAACGGGGGCTCCCCGCCCCTCCGCGCCTGGAGCCGGGGAGTCCTGGCGCGCCCACTCGATTGTTTCAACCTGCTCCCCCCCTCCAGCCGCACCACGGCGAATCCAGCCCCTTTTCCTACGCTGCAGCGAGGTTAGAAGGAGCGGGAGCGGGAGACGGAAGTGCAGCTAAGCCAACTCTGAATTCAAAAGCCCCCTTGGCCGCCAGACTCCCGCGCTTGCCCATGTTTTTTTGCTGCGGAGCACCGGTCGCAGCCTCGGGCGCGTGAGCCCACGGCCCGGCCCCCCCAGCTAGCTCACATTCACGCACGCACCGCCCTCGGCACCCCAAGCTCCCCGCGCCCGCCTGCACACACTGCGCCCCGGGGCTGGGTCCGCGCACGTGGGGTCCCCGAAATGTGCACCGGCCCACGGTGAAGTTCACCCCGCGGGGCGCCAGCGCTGGCCAGAGGCCGCTTCCCAAGGCGCAGTGACACTTATTTGGGAGGTTACGGAGAGAGAGGGAGCCTCTGCAGAGACAGTTTTGAGAGACTAGCGATTTACAAACTCCCAGAGCTTAGGAAATTCACTGAGGCAAGCGCTAGTGCACAGCCTGCTTTCTGATCTTGCACCTCTTGGGGTTGTGGGGCCGTACTCACACGTACACACACGCACACACGTACATCACGTACGCACACGCACACCCGGACCCACGCACACCTACAGTGTCTTTTGATGATGGGACACAGATCCTATGTAGACGCAGGCGACTCGGTAACCAAATGCTTCTGCAGCTGCTTTTGGGAAAGGTGCAAGGTGCTAAGGAAGAGCGTGTCGTTAAAAACGAAAAATAAACGGGGCTGCTTCCTTTCTAAGACGCCCTCAAGCTTTGGTTTGCTTTCCTTCTTCTGCTTGCCCCGCCTCCCCAATCCTAGATTCTAGCGTCTTTAATCAAATACCAAAGTAGGCACTGGCCAAGTTTATTCCTTTAGCGCGTGAAGAGAAAATCAAATAAGAAACAGAAAACGACCCCCCCCCCGCAATATCTTACAAGACTGCACGAGAGACTGTCAGGATTTCAAATAAGCAGCAAAAATGCAAACGGATTAAGGAGGGATGGCATTAAATTGGTCTCTCCAAGCAGCGTGTCCCTCGTGCGCCCGGCTTGAGGCACAGCCATTTGGAGAGGCGTGGACAGAGACAAGAAAAGAACGGTGCAAAATAGCGGCCTGGGGCAGGCTGTCGAGGGTGAGGGTAGAGGGGTTCCTCGAGGTCCTGACTGCAGCACTCTGTGACGTGAGGGGCCTGCCCTGGGCCGCCCCTTGTCAGTGTCCTGCGGGAACCGCAGACCCCTGGGTGACAGTTTGGACCCGGGGGCGGAGCCACGTCGCCCCGCCCAGATGACGTCACCGTGGCGGGCGGGGCGGCAGGGGGCTCGCCTGGCCGGCATCCAGGGGCAGTGCGGAGGCGCGGGTGTTTCCTATCGGTGCGCTCCGAGGCTCTGGGATGGGGTGGGCGGGTAGGGGCGGGGCGGGGCACGAGTGGCGAGAGGGGGGCGGTCCCGGGACCCGCCCCCGGCGCCGTCCAATGGCAGCACGGGAGGATGTTCGGGGGGTGGGGCCTCAGGGGACGACGCGTCCCGGCCCCGCCCCCGCCCCGCCCCGCCCCTCGGGGGCCCCCACTGTTTCAGTCGCTGGCTGGGAGCTAAGTCTCGCGCTGCTGTAGCGGGCGGCTCAAAATGTTTTGCCCTCAATGTCCTTGTCTTCCGCCCACCCACCGGTGTCTTCCCAAACGTTTTCTGAGGGTGGACTGGAGTCCTCCCCATCCCATCCTCGGTCAGCACGAACTGGAGGCTGTAGGGGTGTGGGAGGAATCAGGACTGAAAGGCTGAATACAGCAGAGCAAAGCGGGGTGTCGGGGAGCAGCTGCTGCGGCCCCCGCGCGCGCCCCGCCGGATCCCGTGAGGCGGCTGGGACCCCTGCACTGCGTGGCGCCTGCCGGCTCCCGGCTGACCTATTCCTGTCCGCGTCCCCCCGCCACGTCCCGGCCTCGCCCTGGCTGGAACGATCTGTTTAAAAGTGAAGATGTGAGAAGCGAGGGGAGTTAGTGCTGCCCCCAAATGAGTTTGGGTAGGATAGTTGAAAGCAGATGCTGACTTTATGTTTTTATAATTTCTTATCTTTTATATTGCAGATCGTTCTGCAGCGGAGGCTCCAAGCAGATTTGGTTCTTTGTAGTCCCTTAAATAAAGGGTAATGCAATCCAAGGTTGCAAAGCATGCTGAGAAAACGGGATAGCATCCACGTGCGCCGCTGGCGCTGGAGAACGCTTCTTCTTTGATTAATTTGAAAACCCATCCCATGCCACATTTGAGGGGAGAGATCACTGGGAGAGAAGTGAAGGAAGGCAAAGAAACCCGGGTCCGAGTCCTGGCACATATGGGTGCAGATCATCTTTGCTGACTCCCATGTCTTTGAGTTAGTTTCTTAATCTGAAAAATAAAGAGGAGTAGGCTGAGATGTATCCCCAAGGCTGTTTTCAACCTTGAAATTTTGTGAACGTGGCTTTTCTAAAACACTGTGGATGGGTTTAGAAATGGAAAGATATAGCCCAAAGAATAAAGTCCACTCAAGAAGGGTAGGTATAAGCCAGCTTCTTACAAAGAGCTTACTTCTTTTGGTTAAGCAATTTTGTTTAAAGTTAAATGAAATACAGTTCAAGGAGAAAAAAAAAATCCACTGGTAATGCTTGGGTTTGCATACTGACTTGAGCCAAAGGAACCCCTAAAGTAGATTTGCATGATTAAGGCAAAACTCCTTACTTTAAAGCTGCCAGAAAGAGGCCCTGACTGATTGTAAGCCTCGCTGGCACCAGCTTCCTCAGTTCAGTTTGCCACAATCCCAGTTTGGCTGAGAGGTAAGCCAGTTCGTTCCCCAGTTTCCTCTGTCAATCTAGCATAAATGGATTCCTTGAAACTGTCATCTCAAAAAAAATCTCCTTGAAATTATTTGCCAGAGCTGTTGCCAGGGCCAGTAGGAAATTCCATCTCTGTCTTTTAGGTCAGGGGAAAATCCACTTCTGTATTATAATGGGTTGGTCTAGTAATATTTCTCTCTCATAGATTCAGTCAGTCATTTTTTACCTTCCATTAAAACCTTTAACTGAAATATGAATATAAACATGTCTAGCTCGATTTGTTGAAATAATGGTACCGCAATCATATGCATTAAGAGGGGGGTGTGATTTTTATGACAGTACATGAGTGGGAGTCTCAATCAAAATCCATGTTGTGAGACCTGTATTTACCTTGGCATCTTTGATTTTTCACTCTTTGCTAGTGAGAGCCTTTCCAAAAAGTAGGTGAAACCTCTAAGAGGGAAATCTATGGCTGGCTGAAGAAATGATTTTAATGCAGAAATTTGAATTTTGGAAGCAAGTACTATGTTTACAATATATGAATGTGAATAGCTTTCTTTTAAAAAAATCAACATTTTCGTTAGGGAATATACACACAGGATGTGCAGGTCACTGATTTATCCAAAGTGAGTATCTCTGTGGTCCTTCACTTGAGATGGTTGGAAGTGTTGTAACAACTAAATGCTACTCATATTCCCTCCCAGATGAGGTCCTAGACCAGAAAGGTCAATGACATTGTTGGGACAGTAAGGACAATGTGAATGAGGTCTGTGAATCAGACCTCATATCATGAGTTTTATACCAGTCTTGACCTCTGATTGGAGAGGTATATGCTTACTATAGAGGAGGGTGTCCTTGTTTGGGTTTGGCATATCCTAGAGCATTTAGGGGTGATGAGACATCACATCTGTAGCTTGATCTAGAGGGTTCAGAAAAGGAATAGCTATGATGAGAAACAAATAGCAATGGAATAAGCACAGTAAAATATTCACAGTTGGGCAATATCTAAGTTAAGGTATACATGAGTTTTTTGTATTACTCTTGCATCTTTTCCTTCAAGTTTAAACCACTTTTGTTTTGTTTTTGTTTTGTTTGAGGCAGGGTCTCAATATGTAACTCAGGCTGGCCTTGAACTCACTATGTTGTCCATACTGGCCTTGAATTTATGGCAATCCTCTTGTCTCAGCCTCTCAAGTGCTGGTACTACAGGCATACAACATCCCCTTCCCCGGGCAAGTTTAAGTCACTTTTAAGTCTATTATTTTTTTTAAAAAAATCAACTATAGGTGGGTTAAGGATGTTGCTGTGGTTTAGATATGGCTTGAGTGTCTCTCTCAATATGTATTGAAATATAATCTCATGTGAGGTAGAAAACAGTGGTTACTTAATCCAGCTCTGATGTTTAGAGGAGGAACCTTTGGGTGATTAGGATGAGATAAGGCTATCAGAGTGCAACTCCGTAACTGAATACTGGTGAGTATGCAAGAAGAGGCAGAGAGGGAGGATTTAGACACATGTGGGGGCCTTGTCTCTTGCCACGTGATGCCTTGCACCCCATCAAGTCTCTCCCAGGGAGAAGTCCAACCCCAGATGCAGCCTCCTGACTTGCGACCTCCAGAACTGTGTGCTAAAAGGAAAATCTCTTGTGAAGTGACCCCAGCCTCAGGTATTCTGGCAAAGCAAACTACAGAGACCTAATTGTCCAAAACAAACCTTTAAAGTACTAATTGGAGCACAGACATGAAGGTTTTTAAACCTTAAATAAGCATAAAATGTGTGAACTGGAAAAGATTGATAAATTT